AGCATCTTTGGTGTGCCCTCTCGCTGGGGAGATGCGAGAACAAGACATAAGACGGAAGAGAAAAAAAAATAAAATAAAACCCAAGGACCGGCAAGGCCTTATTGAATACGTCTTGGCCGGGTCAAATGGCGCAAAGTCTTGTCTAGTTTTGTCTGGTGGTGGCTAACCCTCCGGCTGACTCAGAAGCAAGGATGGATTGCGAGCATTACGCAACTAGCGACTTAAGCGCTGACAAGATAAGGGCGGTGCCCAATCAGTTCACAATCCTTCATACATTTGAAATGCATTGATTCGGACGCGGGATTTGATAGGCTGTGGATCCAACTCTACCGTTGTTCTGGCCCTTTTCTTCGGATTGACTCATAGGGTTTCAATCTATGCTCATGCGCATTGAGCGGTTTTGCCCCCACAGTTTCCCCGTCGGAGGTCCGGGGGAGTCGATCCTCACACCGCTGTCTGTATAGCTTCCTCACTAAAAGGCCACATGCAGGTATTTGCCTAGCTGCTCGTATTTGCAGCACCGACTTCATGCCAGTATGAGCCAGAATGACTCAGAATATTTGGCTCCGGTCCTTCTCTTTCCTCGTCATGTGATCCACCGTGCACTCACTGCTTTCCGCACGTGTCGCGGATTACCAACATTGCCAACTTAATGTACCTCGGGGTTGCTACTCACCTCTATGCTACTTTCCTTGCAAATCGAAATTAGAAAAGGGTCCTGAACAGTGGGCTGATGATGTGCGAGCTTCCTGCCTTATTGATCTTGATTCTGACGCCGTTCTAAATGTCTACACTCTCCGCTCATCTCGACAGCCCATCTTGCCAGAGTCCCATCAATTTCTTACTCGGAAGGCGTGCCGAGAGTGCTTCGAATGTGGAAACCCATTGGCCTCGTAAGGGGTAACAACTTTCCTGTGACAAGCTTTTCTGTCTTCGGGCTTGTCAGGTCGATCTCGTTCTTACCGCATGCTTGATATTCTGTGGAGTTATCTCAACGTGAGAGCGATAGGATGTAGTGCACAGCTACTGCGGCAGCTGTACTGTACATCGTCCGACGCTGTGCTGACTCGGGACCTGCAAAGAGCGCGCAAAAGCACCAAGTGCATCAGATCGAAGCGAATGAAGGGTTGTAAACACTAAGCTTCTCACTTTCCGGTGGTTGATGGTGGCAGTGACTGTTCGGGTGGTCCCAGAAAAGCGGGGTGAGATTGCACATGGCGCAGTGGGGCTTGACGGGATCCAAATGTAGTTTAGTGCGGCGTACTGTACAGTACACACCTCTATTTTAAAAATAGTTTACCAGGTACGCATGTACGTTGCCGAGTATAAGATTTCGAGTCACATCAGAAGAGTCTGTGTAGCTATCAAACACTCAGCACCTTACATCTGGACTATCTCATTTTGTATACTTTTGCGTCGCATTGACACATGGGAAGAAGAAAATAACTGAAAATGTGTTCTTGTTCACGTTGATGTAGTAATCTAAGATAGTCACATAGCACAACTATCAAGAAAGTATCGAAGAAGTTGGAGGAAGAATTGGCATCACGGCGATGACGCGTTCTGGCTAAGCCAATCTCTCTGAGCTGTCAACTTGTAGAATGCCAATCGCTTTTCGATGCCTGCTTTGTCCGTTGCATCTTCGAAATAATTGTGTGATGGATCACCTATTGCTCGAAGAATCAGGGACCTGAGATCCTGAAAGTGGTATAATCGAACGAGAACTCCGTTCGCGATGACGCCGCGGCGCCTATTCCAGGGGGTCTCGCCCAGAGCCATCATTTGTTGGAAGAGGCTATGTTCTAGTTCTTGCCAGGAGCCCGGGTTGGCTACCATGAACACGAGGAAGGGCACCCGTTGGTGCGAGATCATGAGTTTCTGGTAGGGGGACCACACTTCCCACTCGCTAGGGGTAGGCCTGGGGCTCTCGATACTCACGTCAAAGCCCTCGTGCGAGGGGAATATCTGGCCCAGGCACTGCGCCCAGTAGCCTAGCTTCTCGCTTGTCTCGGCCATGATGGTCAGTGGGTATGGTATCAGTGAGTATGATATGAATGAGGACAATATCACTCAGAAAGGATAGTATCAGGCTGATATAGCTCAGAAAGGGATAACCCAGGATGGTTGGTGTCAGTCAAGATGATATGGGTTAGGATGATATTGAATGGTTAGAAAAGGATTTTGATTTGCGTCAGAATCTATAGATGGCGGAACTTTTACTAGGTATATATGTCAGTCCGGTTGTAAACGGTGGAATCTTTTAGAATTGGTAGTATTGTGAACCGGGAGATGCCGGCTATCTGGTTATACTATGAGAGTATGGAAGGGAAACCGTGTATAGGTATGAAAGACATCGAGTCACCTCCCCCCTCATGCTTAGGATCTCCATTGTCGCTAGCTCACTTGAAAGCCAAATTGCCCTGCTGCTCACCAGTCACTCATTTTGACGCTGATGTCCGATGACTTGCTTAAACTTCTGCAGGAGAGTGACATTAACGGATGGAAACAAGGGAGATCTCCCGAGGCAAGCCCCACCACTGCCATATTCAATGAACACATAGCAATGCCCCACTATGAACTGCAAGGCTGCTAGCAGATGCCCCTCAAAGCAACGACGGTGCAGAAGCTCGACGTGAAGCGAGCTGGATGTCGGGCCAAAGGTATGTCTTCCCATGAAAGGCATTGAGGGCTTTGGGCTTGGGCTTCGGGGCTCGGTTGGACCATGGTTTCACTGTCAGGTATCATTTGTACATATATTGACTCGGCTTCAGCCACAGTTGGTGGGATAGCCGCGCCACATCACCTCCCATCTCAAGCCACACTCTCGATCTGCGGCCTAAGGCAGCACGTCGGCCTAAGGCAATACATCCCGGCGGGATTAGCAGAAGCCTCGAATCATACACGAAAGGAACATTAAGCTGTCAGCCTACGCATCACGTAACGTCAAGAGACGCTTGTCAAGTTACCTTTGCATCTTTGTCACACTATATCCAGCCACTCAGTCTTAATACACATACCGAAACCGACTGTTCTGCTTATCTGTCAGCCCTGCCCACTTGGCCTCCTCCACCATCGCGTCCTCGACCTTCCCGTACTTCCGATCCCGCCTCCGATTCTCCCATTTATAATACGCAAAAAGCACCGCCGACATGACCGCAGCGGCCGCCTGGGTGGCCAGAACCGCAATCTTGGCCGGCCGATACTCGGGGGCATCACGCGCCTGAAACGTCTGGGGTCCAATGATATTTCCCACCGAGAATGAACCGGCGACAAGCGCGCTCCCGAAGGCGCGCTTGGTGTGGCCCGCGCAGTTGGCCATCGTCCATTGATACAGGATGGGCAGCGTCGCCACGATCGCGTTGACCAGGTAGATCCCGATCAGCACTCCAGCTTTGTCGCTCTTGGGCAAGAAGGAGAGCAGAGCGCCCCCGATGATTCCGGGAATGGTGCAGAGAATATTCCACGCCCAGCGATGGGAGGTCTTGCGGATGCCGATTCCGACCAGCAGGGTGAAGAAGATGCTGACAACGCCGGAGGGCATGTTCAGCAGGGCCGAAATCGGGCCCGGGTAGCCGAAGCTGGCAATGAGAGTCGCCGAGTACGAGGTGACCACACCGCTGGACACAGAAATCTATCAAGAATGAGCCTATGAAGAAAGAGTGGAGATGCCGTCATCTGATGTCCTTACCAGAATGGTGATCAATGTCAGCAACCAGAGTTGGACATCCAGCACGGCCTCCCAGATCTGCTTGAAGTTGAACTTCCGACTCCAAACCCCCGTCTGATTGACACTGACATGCTGCAGGAGGGCGACCTTCTCATCGTCGGACAGCCACGTCGCCTCCATGGGAGTATCCGGGATCAGCAGAAAAGTGAGAACGCCGATAACGACGGTGACTAGGCCGATGACGAGGAACATGATGCGCCATCCAGCCATCGCCGCATGCTCCACATGCTGGAAGCCAAACGAAATAAGTCCACCAATTATCTGTGCCACTCCCAATCCGTTGTACCAGAAGGTAAAGCGCGGGGCCTGTTCACTCTTAGTATAGTATTGACTGCTGATCAGCATCAGCGATGGACCGATCGTCGCCTCGAATATGCCCAGGAAGACACGCGCAGTCAAGAGGGTTGGGTAGTTGGTGGCTGCTGCTGATGCGGCGGCAGCAACACCCCACAAGGTAACATTGGCTCCCAGCCATTTCGCAGCGGGGGCTTTCTGGAGGCAGTAGGCTGATGAAGGGAAAGTGAGTAAGCGCCCGATCAGACACCATACATGGCTGCAGGAACTCGACTTACTGTTGGGCACCTCAGCGATCAGGTAGGCCAGGAAGAACCAGGTGGCTGTGTTGGTGTATTCGTTCCCTGCCAAGCCGAGGTCCTTCTTCATACCCATCACCGCGGCATAATTCAGCATCACCTTGTCGAGGAACTGCAAGACATAGCAGCAAAACATAAACGGAATAAGGCGGAAGTCGATCTTGCGACGGAGGGCTCGGAGATCGATCTGAGGGGTGCCAGCCCCGGCCATGTGGCCCTGGAGGTATTCCACCGCATCATCAGTGCGGTCGACGGTAGGCAAGGCCTGAGAAGTGGGCTGTTTCTCCTCCATCTTGACTTGGTTTCAGGCAACGAGGAGGGAAAAGCAAATTGGGTTTCGAAACCAAGGGGAAAGAGGGGTTCTAAATGGAAAATCCTTTCGTGCGGGTTATTTTATTACGCACAGGAATGGCATTTGTGCAACCAGCTCATTTAGTTTAGGCCGTCGGGTTGCATGAGGCACAATCTATTGCCAAATTAACCACTTGGTCTAGTGCATGCAGGAAGACGGCCGGTCGTCCTTCTCCAGCGCACTAGTTTCACACCCTGGGTTGAGCATATCAAGGTTAATTGCTGCAGGAGAGCTGAATCATTGCTTGCCGTGGCGTGAACATTTAGAATGTAGTTAAGACTCGTGGTCCCCTCCACTGTGCGATTGCTTTCCTGCAGCCAGTTCGACCATGACTTGGGTGCACCATGCCTCGCCCGAGGCGGAGGCGGCATCGCAATACCGTCTGATACTGGGGGTGTGTTTAGGCCTGACCCTGTCGATGTTCATCATCGTCTGCCTACGCTTGGCCATTCGGTTCCACGCCCGTCGGTTGGAAGCCTCCGACTATGTCATGGTGGTGACCATGGTACGCTCATCAAATGAAGGCTACAAGTTGTTGTCCGCTGCTCACCCGTGGTGTACTAGGTCTTCAGCATTATATACAGCGCACTATGTATGGCTCGTGAGTGACCTTCTTTTTCATTCCCGTCTGTCGGTCGGAAAGCGAGCTGAACATAGTAGAAAGCAGGTACGGTCTGGGGCTACCTCTGAAGCTGCGACCAAAGGAGGATCTACCCGAGTACACCAAGGTATTTCTCCTTATAGTCTCAACAGTAGGCAACCAGCTGACGAAAGAGTTCATAGCTTAATTATGCCGGTCGGCCTTTCTACCAAGTCGGTATTGCCGGGTTCAAGGCTTCGTTATGTTTGAATTACCTGCGATTGATTTCTGGGACGTCCAAGACACTGTATAGAATGCTCATCTGGGTTACAATCACCCTCTCCACCGCCGGTCACCTTGTGGGGGCATTGGTGCTGATTTTCAACTGCCATCCAGTATGTCAGAAACTAAAAAGTTGAGAGAGACAGATTTACTGATTGACTCTGAGCAGGTTGAACGGGCGTGGAACCCTACAATAGCTGGATCGTGTCTTCCTTCGGGCCCGACCTTCTATGGACTGGCCGCGTTCACCATCATCTGCGACGTAACCATCCTCATTCTCCCCATTCCCTTGCTCATGCAGCTCAATATTAAACCCGCCCAAAAAGCGGGCGTGGTGTGTTTGTTCCTCTTGGGACTTTTCACCACCGTCTGCTCCATCCTGCGACTGGCTCAGATCCACCGGGTGGCATATGGAGACGGAAATTCGACCATGTTAGTCCTGTGGGGCACCATCGAGTTCAACGTCGGGGTGAGTGCCTGTGGTCCTTTCGGTGGATGTATCCAACCCTGCTAACCAACTGACACTTCCAGAACATCGTGACATGCATTCCCTTCCTTGCACCTCTGCTCAAGGGCGCCGTGCGTGATTTCCGATCGCACAGTGACCAGAAGCGCTATGACGGGCAGAGTTATGCCTTGCAGTCTTGGTCGAAACACCAACGCTCCCAGCTCCAGTCCACCACCTCAGCGGCTCCACGCCCACGACGGACTCCCAGCGAAGAGCTGATTTTGGAAAGTGGGGGGCTCGAGGAAGGGGGGATTCATATGACAGTGGAGTTGCGAGTCTCGCTGGAGGAAAAGTCCGCGAAAGATCACTAACAGGGTGGCCACCCTAAGTCTTTTTGGTGTTACCTAATTAATCACTCACCGGTCGGCGAAACCCAGATTTTCCTAGTGTCAATAAGGTATGAACCCTGCCAACATTTAGCACCTTGGCTGCAAATAAGAATTGGCCGAAGGTGGTCAGGGATTGGAACTAAAGCGAGATTGACTGGGTCGAGACTTCTCCCGGTCCAATCGGTGGTGATGGCACTGGCTGGTTTAAGCCGTGCTTAGGGATCGGTCACACTTCCCCGAGAAGGGACCGAATTAGGGAGACGATTTTACACTATATTTCCACGCATGTGCTGTTGCTGCCTGTGATGGTGGGGGGATGGATGGATTGAAGCATCCTCTGGCGGACGACGGACTGAGGGCTAATGCCGGGTTGGCCCCATCCCGTGCTCGGCCGCGGCCTTGTGTGCCACTGTACTCCGTACTCAAATTTTGTTAGGCTCATAGACTAGAGACAGTTTGTGGGTCTTTTTTCGACGGTGAGGGCCGGGGACTTCTTAGTACTCTTTAGTGGCCCGTGGTGGTGCCAGACTATATATTGGTAACTGTCTCATAATCCTCTATCTCCTCACCATCCCTGCTAGTCCAGGATTCTTAGCCCTCAGCTGTCTGTTAAAGCAGCAGGGAAGAAATGAATGAAAGACACCTCATAAGAGCCCATGTCTCAACCGTATGGCGATCGACGGTGTCTCCTTTATATTAGTCAGAGACACGGGAAAGCTGTGGCTGTCAGTCCACCGAGGCTAGCCGTCTATCAGCAGTCAATAATACGTCGGGTGAAAAGCAAGGGATGAGCAAAACCTGTCCCGTGCAGTCATCAATCAATCATCCAGCCCGTGCGCAACTGCCTCGCGCCTCCTCTCCTCTGCTTCCCCCCATGGCTGACCTCCCCGTGCTCATCGCTGGTGCAGGCATCAGTGGCCTCCTGCTGGCTCAGTATCTTCGACAACATCAAATCCCGTATCTGCTTTTCGAACAAGATGGCTCGATTGATGCGCGGAGTGGTGGCTGGGGGCTGACCCTCCACTGGGGTCTCCCAGCGCTGCGCGAACTCCTGCCTGACTACCTCGTGGCCCGTCTGCCGGAGACGTATGTGAACAAAGCTGCTGCCGGGCGAGGTGACACGGGGCGCTTCCAGTTCTTTGATCTTCGCACGGGATCGGCCTTGTACAGCGTCCCCGCCGCCGAACGGATCCGCGTCAGTCGCGTGCGACTGAGGCAGCTGCTGGCCACCGATCTCGACCTCCAGTGGAACAAAACTCTCACGAGCATCGACTCCACAACCGAAAGCGTCACCGCACACTTCCAAGATGGGACCTCGTACACCGGTTGCCTGCTGGTCGGGTGCGATGGATCGCGCTCCCGCACACGTGAGATCGTGTACCCTGAGGGCCACGAGATGAACCCCCTGCCCGTGCAGCTGCTGGGTGGAGCTGCTCTCTATTCGGCGGAGCAGATGGGCGGAGCGGAGACCATTGACCCATTTATCTTCCAAGGCTCGCATCCAGATACGAATATCTTCTTCTTTTTCAGCTGTAGGTGAATCGTTGTTCCCATCGTCAAGGAGCCTTTTGCTGACCAAGAAACTTCCCGCATGTCGACAGTGCTCGATACACCCAATAATTTCGACGAGAGCGACAAAGACAAATACCTCTGTCAGATCATCGTATCTTGGTCCGATGAGAAGGGAATCCCCGTTCCCAGTGATAATGCCGAGAGACTCGCGTTGATGAAGTCCTTGACCGCCAACTGGGTCGAGCCCTTCCGAGGTCTGGTTCATCACTTGCCCGAGAGCACCGAAGTGCGATCCATCCGCATCGCCGACTGGCTGTTCCGACCAGGGCAAGACACTGCCCATCCACGTGTGGTGCTGATGGGCGATTCTGCGCATACGATGACGATGTGTATGTTTCCGCACATGATGATGACCTCTGATCGGAATTGTGACTTGCTGATCGGAAAACAAACATAGTCCGCGGAGAGGGGGCCAACAATGCCATCGTCGATGTCCTGGATTTCACGAAGCGAGTGGACTTGCGGTCCTTGGGGTGAGTGCCCAGCGCTACCTGCGCATGTATGCATCGCTGACGTTGGTTCTTATTCATTGCACCGAGCAGGTCTCTCGGCATAGAGGAGCTCCGCAAGTCTCTAACGGTGTACGAGAACGATGTGCTTGCCCGGGCAGAACCAAGTGTGGTCAATTCCCGGCAAGCGTGTCTCGATGCCCATGACTTCTCTCGCATTGTGGATGGCAGCCCCTTGGTCTCGGCTCGCTTGCGCGAAGAATAGACGGATACTGCTGCATAGGCATTATAAGATTACTCACATATTCTGCAAGGATTTGGCACCAGCACTGGCAGGGCCGATGTTTGCACCTCAGTACAGTACAGCCGGGGTTATTTGAGCGAACATGCCTGTTCATCAAGACATATGTATTCGTTCTCCTGCTTTCAGGAGACCGGGCTTATTGTTGATGCTATTAATCTAGCTTCATCGTTACAATTAGCAGTCAACGGTTCACGGCTAAGGTTCAAGCGATAGTAGTATTGATTTCGTGATAACTTTATTGAAGGGTCTTCGTCCTGGATTATGAGCACGGAAGCAATAGACTCAATTGAAGCTCCAGCCAAAGTCGATGCCCGGTGCCATATACCACAGCTGTGTCAGCTCATCCTCGTCCTGGTCTCTAAAGAACCTCGTCTTGCCTCCAAGGTCGTACCGATATAGGCCATAGGCTTTACGGTTGTCATCATCGCCTGGAGCCAGCTCTCGATAGAACTGCACCCACTTGGGCGTCTCGATACTTCCCATCAAAGGTAGCAGGTCAGGATATTTCTTCCGTCCTTGCTCGATAACGGTCAAAAGCAGTTCCTGAACTGCTATCCACTGCGTATCTTGGACATCTGCATCGTCGCAAAAGATGCTGTACATGTGCCAGTACGGGTGCTTTATTGTTGCGTATCCGTATCGGGTCCCGGATCTCTTGTCAACCACCATCGCGACATGGTCCGCATTCGTGTGCCTCCAGCGTGGTGCAGGCCGGTTCTCCGGGAGCATCTCGAAAACGATCGGTGCGTCCATCATGTTTGAGTGTGCTGAGTTTAGGGATAAGTGGAATGTGGGATACACAATATGGATCGAGTGGTTGGTGCGGAGTGGGGGAGACACATAGAGCCAACTGTTGCTTATATAGTCCGGGTAAAAATGCTCCTGCAGATGATACTGCGTATTCTATATTCGCGTAATTCTGCTCGACAACCAGATAAAGAACGCTCGTCCTTCACCGCTGAGTCTCTGGGCTTCTGTGAATGCAATCGGTGGACGCTACCTGGAGCTTCTAGGATTTGTTTCATTTGTCCATAGCAATAACCCTTGTCCTGTAGTGGTTTATCCTCGCTTGGCTGAGGCTCTTTAGCATTTGTCTTCTTTGTTCTATGACTTTGTAGAGTTCTTTTGCTATCCTACCTCTCTATGTTGAAAGCAAAAGTTCTATGGATCCAGACAACGTCTTTGTGCAAAGCTCAAATTTCCGATTTGAGAGTTTCCCTCTTTGTCCGTCCCATCTCTGTCATTTTTCCTAGATCCAATTCTTCTTCTCCCGCTTGTCACATTCTTGATCCTCCGGCATAAGCTCGGTAAATCGTCAACCTCTTGGGTTCCCCCGAATGGCACCTGCTACTCGGACAAGTCAGGTAACGACTCCACTGCAAATCCCGAAATAGCCCAGCCAGGGGTGCTTCCAAGCAATAGTCGGAAATCCAATTCCTCCATGTGGAGATGATCATTGCTGGATCGAGATCGGAGTCGACTGGTAACCGAGGTACGGACCCACCGTTCGCGTGCAGTCGCCCATTTTTGTGTGTTTCAGTCGGTGATCCCCGAACCCGCGATCCAAGAATTGAGTCGAACTGCCAGCAATTATATCTCTCGGTGCATCTCCCCCTTGTTGACCATGACGGTCTCCTCTGTGCCATCGTCATGCATCTCCCCAGATACCTGGCGGCAGCTCTGTCTGCCCTACCAGCCTGCAGCGCCCTTCCCTCGCAGCAGCCCCGGGATTCTTCCTCGACAATCACCGTCGATGCCCTCAACGCCTTTGATTTCTGGGTGCAATATGCAGCTGCCGCCTACTGCGAGTCCAACTACATCGCACAGGCGGGCCAGAAGTTGGCCTGTTGGGCGGGCAATTGTCCCCAGGTCGAGGCAGCCGATGCGACTATTCTGCTAGACTTCTCCAAGTATGCCTACTATCCCTGCTATGAGCCCTGCGCCTTTAAACCACCATACTAATTGAACCGTGTTATCCCAGCACCACTGCAACAGATACCGCCGGCTTTCTTGCCCTCGACCACGCGCACCAGGCCCTGATCCTCTCCTTCCGAGGCTCGTATTCCGTCCGAAACTGGCTAACGGACGCGACCTTCTTCTACGCCGACCCACATCTCTGCACGGGCTGCCAGGCCGAGCTGGGTTTCTGGAGCGCCTGGACTAACGTGCGGGCGAATGTGACCGCAGCTCTCACCCACGCTCGCGCCTCATACCCCGACTACGAACTAGTGGTGGTGGGCCACAGCCTGGGCGCGGCCATCGCGACCCTCGCCGCCGCCGACCTGCGCGACGAGCAAAACGAAACGGCGACCCTCTACGCCTTCGCCTCGCCGCGCGTGGCCAACCCTGCCCTGGCCAAGTACATCACCGCTCAGGACCAGCAAAAGGGCCAGGGGAAGAACTATCGATTCACGCACACAAATGACCCCGTGCCGAATCTGCCGCTACAGCTGATGGGGTACGCCCACATCAGCCCCGAATACCACATCACCGCACCGGATAATGCCACCGTCACAACGAGCCAGGTCGTTGTGTATGCGGATGGGGATAGCAGCCAGGGAAACACGGGGCTGCTGGGGATCCCGGATTTGCTGGCCTTCGATGCGCATCATTGGTATTTTGAGCGGGCGGATGCGTGTCTGGGGCCGGGGTTGCCGTTCAAATGAGGTATCCTGGTGGATGTGATGATAAGTTAGAGCCTAGTCTCCTTTGGTTGCATTCTTCTCTGGACATCTTTAATACTTACTCACTAATTATTGGAGTGGATGTATATATATCCTGTCTGTAAGATTGCTCGGTGCTGATTAATCTCTCCATACTGAAGCACCCGTGTCTAAACACTCGTGAGGCTCTGATACTAATCAGGGTCACAAGAGCAACCGTAGCTGACTGAACTAAATGGCGATGTGGTGATTATGGCGGGCACTATTAGCTAGTCGGTGATTTTTATGCGTCAATGGACTTGGAATAAACAAGGTAGCAGAGCTCAGCTCACAATCTGGGATCCTGCTCACCAGGATCCGTTTGTCAGATACATATCTATCATCAAACCTTCTAACTGGTTATTAATTTCTATCAATCTTCTCTATCTACCGTCTAGGTGGAAGTGTGCAACGAGTGCGTTTTGGCCCTGATAGTGTTCACTGTTAGTGGCATTTATCACCTCATGAGCATTAGCTCTAATCAACACGTGGTTAGCTAAAAGCCTAAATTCGCCGAGCCATGGGACTGAACCTGATAGATGAATGCAGCTCCGTGCGACAACGTCATGATAGTCTATCCGCACCATCCATCAACTACTGCATTTACAAACTACATCGACATATGTGTGAAGAGTATGTTCGATAATAAGTTGTTCATTCACTAAATTACATGTACCGATCCCTGATCGTATATTCGAGAGTCATGTCATGTTCCGAGTCGGGTCGTATCATCAAATCGTGATGGATGAGTGAAAAGTATCTACTCATCACCGAGAGACTGGCCGCCCTTGCGGCCGGCCTCGTGCGGGTCGACCTTGCCGTGGGCGAACTCGCCCTTGGCGCTGCCACCGCTGTGGCTGCCGGTGGCCTGCCCGCCGACGGAGCCACCCTCCTGGCCGGCCTTGTGGGGGTCAACCTTGCCGTAGGCGAACTGGGACTGCTGGGTGCGCTTGTCGGGCTGGCCGTCCTCGCGAAGGCCACCGTGCTCTGTTGTTGAAGTTAGTTGTGTTTTGAAATATGGAGATAGGGGGGAACTGTACCAGAGGGCTTGTACTTGTCGGCCATTTTGATAGATTGGGAGGAGAATCGGACAATTGAGATGCGAGAGTGGAAGATTGGTTTGTTGATAATGTGCTTGATGGTCATGAAGGTAGTTGCTGTTGATGAAAAAGTCATTGAAGTCGGAATTGAGGACCTTTTTATAGAAGATTGAAGAGGAGATGCTAGTGGAGGGAGAATGTCAAGGTGAGGTCATGGAGGCAGCAAATGCGGTCATGAAACTACGTGGAGATGACATCGCCGTTACGATGATGGCTTCGCCACTCACTGCAGTCTGGAGTAGTGTGTGTACTGTGTGTACGGTACTGTGTGTATGTAGTGTTGATGTCGCGTCATCCTCAGGAGAGTTGCACAATTCTTTGCAATCTTCTCGAATTCGATGATGCGGGCGGGCATCATGGCTTAGGGTTCCAGCATTACCCCAGGTCTTGCCGCGATCGATCGATCACCCGCCGCCATCTCACTGGCCGAAGTCGGCCACCGTCGCCAGGCTAAACAAGCTTATTGAGCCATCTCTCTCACAAAACCCTGGGTGCCCCTGAGACACGTCGCTAGACACGTTGATCTGCCTTGGATGCCACCCCCCTTGGCCCTTGCGGTAGATTTTTCCGCCGATCGTTCGGCTTTTGCTCGAAATGTTGAGCCGGCTGCTGGGGGTCAAGTCGAGCCTCTCATCGTTGCGTAATTTTAGCTAATCTCGAACTTACTCGCCTGCAGGATCGCATCAGGTCCAGGCCAGGCATCTGCAGCCCGCCAATCAAAGCCATTGCTGCGCAGTGCGTCTGAAGAATCCAAAGTAGACGTGACCTGTGTCACTGATGATGGCATAAACTCCATAATCAATTGGTGGCGATTGGAAAGCGATGCCAAGTTGTGCTTAGGATGCCTTGAAGAGGCGGTTAACTGCAGCAACGGGGATGCTCGGTCGGCAGCTGCCAGGGCAGCACGTAGGAAACCCGCCTGGAAAATGTCCATTTCCCCCACCTTTTTGAATGAAGATGACCACTACATCCTGGAGTCTGAATACAAAGCTTTTCTACATGCTAAAACAAGTCTTTTGGATGAGATATAGCGAGGAATGCTGATTTGCGACCGGTGTCGATGTTTGCATTCATCCGTTGGTCCTTCTAACCCATTAATTACTCTGCGATCGAGCCGCGGCAAGATTCATCAGCTCCCGGGCTAGAACGGCCTAACGCCCGGTCCTGTCCCCACTCGACATTCTATCTAGAATTGAAAATCAAGAATACGGGAGCGAGGATTTGGCGATACAACGACAAACTCACCGACTAGGCGATTTCGTGCTTTAGCGGAGGCGGAAGTGGCTCGCCAACAGGGTTCATATCCGTAGGTGCTAACGCAGTTGCTCTCAGGCAACCCAACCCTACCTTGCACGGACAGCAGCTGTAACCTGGCGAGCAGTGTTGATGTATAACTCGAATTATCGGAATCTGAAGGGCTTGTACTATGACAATGCAACCAAGTCCCCAAATCGATATGCTCTGCACTGCTGATAGCCATTCGATCATGGATAGCCTACACTTGCTCCTGACACATGGCAACACGGTCGGGAGTCGTCAGTATGGAGACCCTTCGCCGCCTAATCTCCTCTCAAGAAAAGCTTGCCCTCGAAACAAGTTCTTTGCTCATCAGCATCTCCGCCAGACGGTTCGACCACTTTGCTCTTCAATTAAGTCGGTATTCCATGAATTCTATCTCGGTCCTATACCAAGTGCACCGAACCCGTACTGAAATGGTGATGACCAAGTCAGGGTGAGACTGCCTTGAACAAAGACAGAATCACACTCCCAAAGCAGCGGTGGTCGTCCCATCGGGCAAACTCGACCTCCAAAGAGACCACTGCCATTCTATGCAACAAAGACAGACAGACCCCTTGTCTCGGGCAGTTGACTGTTGAGCCTCTACCCAGTATCCTCATCGTATACGATCAGGACATCCCAAGCCACGCACCGTACATAAAGAAGAATCTCCCGCGGGACACCCACAACTATGAAAGCAGAAAGAAAGTCAAGGTACACCTAATGCTCGAACCGCGGACAGGCTGGAACAATCCCCTATCCACAAGCTCTATCCAGCGGTACGCTACGCTGATCACCCCTGCCCTGGAATTCCAGTGTCGGACAAAGAACCTCGACTCCAACACCCAACCACCACCCGCCGCCTACTCCCCTTCGAATCTACAAGTGATTGGTTCTGAAAAAGACCGTCTTGAACACAAGATGTATTTGGGTATCAATGGTAATGATGATGCGCGATGTATATATACACGTATATATGGTGGTGGAGTGCGGAACCCAGGAGCGCTCGGGGGCGTTGGAGAAAAAGGAGACAAAATAACCAGAAAGACAACAACAAAAAGCAAGAAGCGAACCCTGACTCGCAGTCTGTCAGGGCTGGAAGCGCAATTAGTCAGCCTATAAGCTGAAAACGTCTATACAGGATCATTAGATGTACATTGGAGGGATCGATGTGACGTCATGTCGTCAGAGATGAAAATGATGATGCTGATAAGGAAAAAAGGAGTGTGAGTGTGAAGGTGAGTGTGAGAGAGAAGACTAGGGCTTGGCCAGCTGCTCCTTGCGGAAGAAGAGCAAGAAGCCAGCACAGACGAGAAGCTGGCAGAACAGAGCCACCCAGAACCAGGCGTTGGCCACGGAGCTGGCACCGAAGGTCGGATCGGGGGAGATGGGACCAGGCCCGACATTGTTCGGGCCAAAGGCGCGGGCGCAGATGGTGGCGATCGAACCGACCACCTGCGAACAGATCAGGGTGAACAGCATATGCGTGCGCGTGAGCGTCTGCAAGAGGATGATACCGAAGCCGAGACCTTGAATTGAGTCCAGCACGCCCAGCCAGAGCCAGATACTGCGCGAGACCAAGGCACCGCCTGTATATCCGCCGGTCACCCAGGGCAAGAAGTAGCCGATACCGGAGACACCCCACCAGATCTGGGCCCAGCGCGGCGCGCCCAGTCCGCAGGCGAACACCGGCAGAAACCAGCTGTGCGCCTTGAAATAGCGGCTGACGACGAACAGGAACCCGGCCCAGACGAAGCCGTAGAAGACGATACACAGGATGACGATCTGCCAGCCGTGCGCGTGCGCCGACCCCCACAGGAAGCCCCAGTTGCGGCCGTATGGCGCGCTCAGGAAGAAGTTCTGCAGGATGACCGCCACGAAGTTCCAGAGCACGATCTTACGCCGGAAGACCGACTTGTAGAAGGAGGCGACCTTGCCGGGCGTCTGGTTGTAGTAGGTGGGAAGGCCCAAAAACAACAAGATGCCCACAGCCCACAGGGCGATGGCGATCGGGTAACAGATGGCGGTCATCTTCCACGAGTTGGCGATGTTGTTCGTGCTGGTCAGCACGCCGGCGCTAGACGCCTTGGTCAGGGTCGATCCCCAGTACCAGAGGGCAATCACGTAGGCGGACTGGATGCCTTGGATGAGGCACGCGCGGAAGATCCACACCTCCACGGGGGCACCACCTTCGTCACCGAAGTTGAGGGCGAAGAAGAGCGAACCACTCGACGAGCCAACCGCGTAGGCACCACTGCCGATGTTCTGAATCCAGCCACGGTTGAACTCGTTGGTATCCCAGTGGGCGGATCCGATCAACAGGAAGGCAAGGCCGTAGAAGAACCACGGAGCCGAGAGACACACCACGGACTTGAAGTAGCGGTACACCAACCACCAGCAGATCGAGGCGATCAGGTATGTAGTGGCGATGCCGTACAGCTTCTCGGCCGTCTGACCGACTTCACCGGTCAAAAGGGTGACCTGGTACGAGTTGGCGGCGATGATCTGACCAACCGATAGGAAGATCGAGTAGATGGGCCAGTCGCCGATGCGGATCTGCATCCAGCGCCGCAGTCCCGTGGGTGGGACGTAGTCCCTGCCCAACAGGAACTCGTCGTCGGTCTCGTTGGACTCCTCGTTGCTGCTGGCGCTCATGCGCGAGCCAGTCTCGTCGTTGTACGAGCCCATGGGGGAGGCGCCGTGCTTGTCACGGAAGATGGAGGGCGTGGGCGACTTGAAGCGACCCAACTTAGCATCGCGGAAGCGATCGAACCATTCCTTCTCACTCTGGATCAAGTACTCCTCGATACAGAACTGCGATTCCGAGTTCTCACCCGTCAGGTCTTCGAGCTTCTTGTCGAACGAGTTGTAGTACTCGCCCGTACTGTCGGTGAAGAAGGGGTCGACCT